CGGCGGAGCCACCGTGCTGGAATTCTGATATTGGCTGAAAAAGGGCCCTGGGTCTTATTTGGATTTTTTTTGGGACACGTGCAGGTACCGGTAGTGCGTTTCAGTTTTCTGGAAAAAATTTATGGAATTTAGGGACAGCCCGTAGGCGCACTGTAGAGCCGATTTCAGACCCCGAAACAAGTAAGAATTTCTCACCCTATTTCCTATCACGGTATTAAAGCTCAATAAATAATAAAACGGCATTTCATGAATTAATACATGTGTATACTTAATTAAGGTTACTAATGGAGCCCGAACCTGATGTATTTTTCGGTCAGTTGTTGTTTGATCTATGTTTCAGTTTTAAATACAGTATGGTGTTTGATGTATTTATTTTATAGTCTCGTATGCATGAATCATGGTTTCTTTTATTATGGTTTGAATTATGGTGAACCCGATGTTGTGTTATTTTGTTTGGTGTTCAGTATTGGTTTACGTATTTGTGTATGATTGAAAAATTGAGACCAAGAAAAATGGAAAAAAAGTTATGTGAATTGATAAATAGATAATGTGAACAGCCTGACTAGATATCTTGGGAGATGGTGGACGGACCGGATCTGTAGGGAACCCTACCGGGAACGTGGTCTCTCATATCGGACGGGTTATGGATACCTTATGTGTTTTGGCGCCCATACCGGACGGGGTATAGGGACGGCCCGTTTCACCCTCGTACCAGACGGGGTATTGAGGTTTATGGTTTTGGTCCCCATACCGAACAGGGTATGGGGACGACCCGTTTTACCCTCATACCAGACGGGGTATTGAGGTTCATGGTTTTGGCGCCCATACCGGACGGGGTATGGGGACGGCCCTGGAATCATATTATTAATGTTAATTGTTCACGTGTAGCGATGACCCCCTATGGATCCCAACGGATACTAGTAGGTTGGTAAAAGGGAAAATCTGTTGTCTGATTATTGAAATACAAAAGTATAACATGTGTCATGTTACAAAGTGTATATGATTTTATGATGGTTATAATGTTATTATTTTTATATAATATTTTCACGAATCTCACCGAGGTAAGTGGACAGTAAAGGTTTTTATTATTAATAAATGAGTTTGTTGTAAATTATGCTCCATTGGTAGTTTTTGTTTTCTACCAACCTTTACTTCTGTGGCAGTGAGATAGTGTGATGTCTTTACTGGGTTAGTGTAGCTCATTCTTACTTAACCATTTCAGATCAGGAAGACGTGGTTCCCGAGCCCGTTCCGCAGGAAGACGGTGAATTAGACGCCTAAAGACTTTATAGTTCTATTTATAGTTTTTTTTCTATTTCGAGTATTTCTTTTAATTAGCTTATTCTTTCATACGTTGAATACGTTTATGGCTATTGTGTAAGGGATGTTGATCAAAATTTTTATCTCGCTTCCCC